CTGGCTATGCCCATGGCCTGGTCTTCAGCACCAAGGAGCTCAGGACTGAGGAGGTCTTTGAGGTGGGCTGTGGAGATGGGATGACAGGGGGCTTCAGGCTGTTCATAACAGGGTCAGCCTGCCTTCTCCCCTGCCCCCGGCTAGCACCAGCCAGCAGTTTCTCCCTCTTACAGGTGAAAGTGGAAGAGCTAGATGAGAAGTGGGCAGGCTCCCTCCGGCTGGGGCTGACCACACTAGCGCCTGGGGAGATGGGGCCTGGAGCCAGCGGTGGCCCAGGGCTGCCTCCTTCCCTGCCAGAGCTCCGGACTAAGACCACCTGGATGGTATCCAGCTGTGAAGTGAGGCGTGACGGGCAGCTACAGAGGATGAACTATGGCCGGAACCTCGAGAGGCTAGGGGTGAAGCAGCTGGGTCCAGGGGCAGAGGTGGGGTTGGGAGTGGTGGTTGTAGGGAGATCTGGGCTGAACATCTGTCCTCGCCTTACCTTGGTCCTAGGTGGGGAGCCGTGTGGGCATTTGTCGGGGGGCAGATGACACAATGCATATTCTGGTAGATGGAGAGGATATGGGGCCTGCAGCCACTGGCGTTGCCAAGGTAGACCCAGGAGCTTCCTTGGGTTCTGGGAGTGGGATTGGGCTCTCGCACTTACCTCTGCCTCCTGCGTCTCATGCCATCCCAGAACGTGTGGGCCATATTGGATCTCTATGGGCCAGTGCGGACTGTATCGATTGTCAGCTCCACAAGGCTAGAGGAGCCGGAAGGCACCCAGCCGCCATCCCCCAGCTCGGACACCGGCAGTGAGGGCGAGCATGACGAGGAGGGCGAGGAGCACGGCCTGCTAGTAAGGGGCTGTGGCAGAGCCTGCTGGGCACACGAGGCTCCATGTAAATGGCAGCAGGGGGCTTGGGCCTGGCACTGCAACCTCCTCAGCTCAGTCTCTCCTCCACTCTAGGGGCAGAATCAAGTGGCCATTATGCCCCCAGCCCTAGAGTTCCTGGAGAACCATGGGAAGAATATCCTCTTGTCCAATGGGAACCGTACAGCTTCCCGGGTGGCCAGCTACAATCAGGGCATCGTTGTCGTCAGCCAGCCCCTGGTGCCCCAGCTGCTGGTCCAGGTGGGCCTTGTCTCCTTATCCCCAGCTTCTCTTGCTCAGGGTGACCCAGAGCCACCCCTCCTGGAGAAAGATCTTTCCAGTTGAGGACAAATCCCTTGGATGAGGCTTTCACTTGTACTGTGTGGTGGGGGTTATAGACTGGTTACCAGGAAACACCCACCTGGGGTGAGGGAAGCAGTAGGGAGGGGCTGGAGAGGTCCACGGTAGATGTCCGGTCTATGTGGGAACAGGGAGGGCTTTTCAGGGGAGAAGGCCTTCCTGCTGCAAATGGGAAGGTATCAGAGTTAGCCAGGTGAAGGAAGCTCTTGGGAACAGCGAGACCAAGGCTATAAAAGGAAAGGCAACAAATGGATTTGCAGTTTTCGGTCCCTCCAAGCTTCAGAAGGGCCAGTCTTCCAGGCTGCGCTATGGGAGGTGCCATCTTCCCTCCCTGGCTGGGAGAGGAGCCTGGTCCTACTGGGAGAAGGGCCTCTTTCCAGGTGGCCATGATGGGGAGGAGTTGCCTTCTCCCCCAGGTGCGGATAGACTGCCTGAACCGGCAATGGACATCTTCCCTTGTCCTGGGAGTTATCACCTGCCCACCCGAGAGGCTCAACTTCCCTGCTTCTGCTTGTGCCCTCAAACGGGCAGCCTGGCTGCTGCGGGGCCGCGGTATCTTCCACAACGGTCTCAAGGTGGGTGGGAGGAGTGAGAAAGGAGTGGGCCAGGCCTCTGAGTAGGGAGGGACTGGCCAAAACAGAGAAGTGGGGCGCCTAGGCCTGGAGGTAGGACCACAAGGGTAAAGAGGCAGTGCAGCAGGTGAGCCCTGTGGTGGGTGGGCAGGGGTGTGTCATTACCTGCATGGTCTTGGGCTTGCTGCCTCCTCCTATGTCCCTGCCATTGACAGTGTTGCCGTCAGGGGACAGGGAGTAGATTATAGGTAACTTAAGTGGGGGTTGAGCCCGGGCAGTGGGCAAGGGTAGAGGCCAAGCCCGGGGACGTGACCTGAAGCAGAGGGAAGGGTGGCTATGGCTGCTGTTGGTGGGAGTCTGATCTCTAGGAAGACACTAGGTCTCTCCTCCCAGATCTGTGAGAAGTTCGGGCCAAATCTGGACACGTGTCCTGAGGGCACCATCCTGGGACTGCGGCTAGACAGCTCTGGGGGGCTGCATCTCCATGTCAACGGGATGGACCAGGGAGTGGCTGTTCCAGAGGTTCCCCAGCCCTGTCACGCGCTTGTGGACCTTTATGGGCAGTGTGAACAGGTGAGTGGCAGTGGAGGCAGGGACAAGGGAGTGCCTGGGAGACTGGGCTGTCCGAGTAAAGGGGAAGTCCCAGCAAAGATTCCAGGGAGGGGTCAGAAGGCCCTGGGGGCCAACCACCCCACTTCTCTGCAGGTAACAATTGTGAGCCCTGAACCAGGGGCTGCCAGTGGGAAGAGTGCTGGAACCCAGGGGGACATGGAGAAAGCTGACATGGTGGACGGTGAGCCAGTCCGAAGGGACCAGGATCCTATCCACCCCACCCCCACTTCTAGACCCAACTCCCGTGATTTGTGCCCCTTCTGCTCCCTCAGGTATCAAGGAGAGTGTGTGTTGGGGCCCACTGCCTGCTGCTAGCCCACTCAAGAGCTGCGAGTACCATGCCCTTTGCTCTCGTTTCCAAGAACTGCTGTTGCTTCCTGGTGAGTTCCCAAGCTCCAGAACTGCCTTATTCCCTAGACAAGTACAGGGCCATGGAGACCAGTTAGAAGGCGACCATGTGGTTAAAACCCAGGGTGGGTGCTCAGGAGCCCCAGCACCAAGCCTGCCACTCACTCTCCCGCAGATGATTATTTCATGCCTCCGCCTAAGCGTAGCCTGTGCTACTGTGAGGCTTGCCGGAAGCTGCGAGGGGATGAAACCCACAGGCGCCGTGGCGAGCCTCCCCGGGAATACGCCCTGCCCTTTGGCTGGTGCAGGTTTAACCTCAGGTACATATGGGGCAGGGCCGTGCCATCTCCCTTACTGTTCTTTGCCTCCTTGAGAAAAGAAGGTCCCAAGGGGGTTCATGAAAGAAGTGGCAGAACTTCTTGTCGTAGGGATGATCTTGGGGAGCCAGTGACCCTGGTCCAGTCTGCCCTGTCTGTCCCCCTCCTAGGGTGAATCCCTGCCTAGAGGCTGGGACGCTAACCAAGAAGTGGCACATGGCATATCATGGGAGCAGTGTGGGAGCTGTGAGGAGGGTGCTGGACCGAGGGGAGCTTGGAGCAGGTACTGTGGTGCTGCCAGAGGCAGGGGCCTGTGGGCCACAGGAGGGTGGCTCTGAACCAGCTCTCCTCACAGGCACTGCCTCCATCCTGAGCTGCCGGCCCTTGAAGGAAGAGCCTGGGGTAGGGTTTGAGGAGCCTGGTGAGAACTGTGCACCTCCTCGTGCGGAGCAGCCCCCCTCAGTGCTGCTTTCCCCCTCCCTCCAATATGCTGGGGCTGAGACCCTGGCATCCAAAGTGCAGTGAGTACACAGGATGGGCCCCAGGCCACGTGGGTCTCCATGGCTTGCCCTCCCCCTTCCCACCTGTCTTGCTAGTTCCTCAGTCTCCACCCCAGCCCATTTTTTCATTCATTCATTGAAAACATACCACATAGTTTGTGCTATCTCAGTGAACAGAGAAAGGGGAACCTTGGTCTTGTGGAACTTGTTTTTTCTCACTCTGGAATGTTTATGCATAAGTGCTTAGTATTTTCAAAGGTGACAATAGTACTATGGAAACAAAAGGTAGAGTGGAGTGAAGTGGATCAAAAGTGTGGTTGGAGCAGGCATATTGAATTGGGTAGTCATGGTAGACACCATAAAGAAGGTGAGATTTGAGCAAGGCCTGGAGAAGGAAGTGAGGGGGTCAGCTGAGCAGGCATTGGAAGGAAGATCATTTCAGGTAGAGTGAAGGGCGGGAGCTCACTCCCTATTAGGTGGGAGTGGTTGTAGGGAGTGCAGTGGTTGTAGTTAGCAAAGGAGAGAGATGATGGGGTTGAGTCCTCACTGCTGTTACTGATTCTTGCCTGATAGATTCCGAGACCCCAAATCCCAGCGGACACACCAGGCCCAGGTGGCGTTCCAGGTGTGTGTGCGCCCTGGCTCCTACACCCCTGGCCCTGCTTCTGCCTCCCTCAGAGAACCTCCTGACCCTCATTTCAGTCCATCGGAACTTGAGTGGGTAACCAAGGAGAAGGGGGCTACGCTCCTCTATGCCCTGCTGGTACGGGTGGAATGAGGGGTGAGATCTCACTACTACAAGCACAGTTGGGCCTTGGGCCCATAGACTCTGAGTGACGACTGCCTCCACCTCATTCCAGTGACCATGGCATGCATGGGTGTTCAGCTTGACAGATGCACAGGAGCATGAAGGCAGGCTCTCAGATTTAGATGGGAAGTGGAGCACATCTCCACGTCCAGGGCCCCGAGACACTCCCTCTGACGTGAGGGAGCTTGTGGGGAGCCCAGTGCCAGGCCCTGGGTAACCCCACTTCATGCACTGATTTGGGGAACATGACTCCCTATTCCTTCCTTCCCCGTATCACTTAATTTATTTCCGTTTTCCTGATTACTGTGAATCCCAGAGGAGTCTCCCTGTGCCCCACACGAAGCTGCTTTTTCTGGGGCTTCCTGGCGGGCGCGGGGAAGGGCAGGCTCAGGGGATGGGGCCCTCTGTACAGTTAACTGACTCTGATTTCTAAGGAGCCAATAAACACCGTCTCAGAGCACCCGCCTCGCCTCTCTCTCGCGCGGCCTTCTCAGGGGCCCCCGGTCCACTGCACCTGTCTCCGGTGAGCTTGGCCCCACCAAGTCAGGGGGCTTCTACCGCAGGCCCAGAGTTCAAACAGGGGCTTCCCATAGCTGGCGCGCGGCAGGGTGCAGCGAGGGAATTTGGATGCCACGGGCACCCGTCGCAGGCACTTCCGCCATTTCCTCTCCGTCCAATCAGCGAGGTCGGCTGGCGCCCCGACTCCGGAAGGATTCGGCCCGGCTGCCGGATGTGACGCCATGGCCAAGGCGTGCAGAAGACCGCGGAGAGAAGGGTAGGGAAGGGCTGGCGCCCGGAGCGGTGGGGAAGGCGTTGGGGGGCTCCGAGGCCGCACACCCCGGCCCCGTTGGCTCACGTGGTGGTCTCGCGGCTGTTGGCCCGGCGGAGACGGGAGGCGGACACGTGACCGTGGCTGTCGGCAGGCGGGCTGCGGCCTCGGCTGGCCAGGCTCAGTATCCCCTGAGCACCCGCTCCCCCGCAGGCCCATTCGTAGATTTGGCAGTCAGTGACAGAGCCCGGAGCCTTCGGCCCGAGCGACCGCGGCAGCACCATGCCTGCACTTCTGGAGCGCCCCAAGCTTTCCAACGCCATGGCCCGGGCGTTGCACCGACACATCATGATGGAGAGGGAGCGCAAGCGGCAGGGTGAGCCGCGGCCCAAGCGGGAGGACACGGCCCAGGCAGCAGTGTTATCTCAAGCTTGACCCCCCCACGTCCAGTCCAGTGCGCTGGCGGCGGCTAACGCTAGAGGGATGGAACAGTCCCGATGTGATAGGAGTTAGAGGCCAGGTCTAAACTGCAGAACTCGAGCTGGGAAGGACCTTGGAGAGCACCTAATAAGCCCTCTCTCTGCCTGCATTTGCAATGGTGGGGAAGCCTGTCCCCTCAAGAGGAAAAGAACTATTGCCAGGAACATAAAGCATTGGGATAAGCAGTCTGGTCTTCAGTCTCTAACGTTCTGATATCCTAGCCATCCTGGTATTTACCCATTTTGCCTGACTTCCTCCAGAGGAAGAAGAGGTGGACAAGATGATGGAACAGAAAATGAAAGAGGAGCAGGAGAGAAGGAAGAAAAAGGAGATGGAAGAGAGAATGTCACTAGAGGAGACCAAGGAACAAGTAAGCAGTCTTTTGGTAACACCCAGCCTTCTCTTCCTTTGGCCCTCCTGCCTTCATCTTCTCTCTCCTCCCTTTCCAGATCTTGAAATTGCAGGAGAAGCTTTTGGCCCTTCAGGAGGAAAAGCACCAGCTTTTCCTGCAACTCAAGAAAGTTCTACACGAGGAAGAAAAACGGAGGCGAAAGGAGCAGAGGTGGGATTGGAGAGCTGAAAATAAATTAAGCAGCAAAGTGTGACTGCGATTAGGTAGCAAAAGATCAGTATTTAATGGCAGAAGAAGGGGCACTTTGTCCTTGATTTTGACCTGCTTTCCTTTCCAGTGACCTGACCACTCTTACATCAGCGGCATACCAGCAGAGCCTAACAGTTCACACAGGAACTCACCTCCTCAGCATGCAGGGTGAGGATTAAAGGAACCACTTGTCAGAATGGGCCCTCCTTGGGGTTGCATCCTGATTTCAGTGTCATGAAGCCCCTCTCCTCTCTAGGAAGCCCTGGAGGACACAATCGCCCAGGTACCCTTATGGCAGCTGACAGAGCCAAACAGATGTTTGGACCCCAAGTGCTTACAGTAAGAGTAGTAGAATTGGGTGTCTAGCCTGTTTGTCCCTACTCCTTCCAGTCAGACCCAGGCATCATTACTAAACCAGTATTGAGGTCATAAGCATATTAAATACCTGTGTAACGGGAGAATGGAGCATACACAAGTCAGCTGAATTTACGGGTTCTTTAAACTCCCTCCTTAGACCCGGCACTACGTGGGCTCAGCAGCTGCTTTTGCAGGGACCCCAGAGCATGGGCAATTCCAAGGCAGTCCAGGCGGCGCCTATGGGACTGCTCAGCCCCCTCCTCACTATGGACCCACGCAGCCTGCCTACAGTCCTAGTCAGCAGCTCAGAGGTAAGTGGTGGGAAAAGAGGGAGGAGGGCTTTCCATAGGACCCAGGGGGTGGAGTGTTAAAAACAGGCTGAAAGGAGGTTCTAATGGCTGTGCCTCCTGCCTTTCCCAGCACCTTCAGCGTTTCCTGCAGTGCAGTACCTGTCTCAGCCACAGCCACAGCCCTATGCCGTGCACAGCCACTTTCAGCCTACCCAGACAGGTGATGACCCCTATGCAGGGGCCCTCATTCCATGATCCTTCTTTCCCATTCTCTACTCATTTCACATTCTCTTTCTTCCCTACTAGGGTTCCTCCAGCCCAGTGGTGCCCTGTCCTTGCAAAAGCAGATGGAACATGCTAACCAGCAGACTGGCTTCACTGACTCCGTAAGTATGGAACCTGGGGAGGTAAGGGGAAGGGCTATGTTAAGGGGAGCCCACGCTGCCTCAGGTACTGATTCTGCTCTCTGCAGTCCTCCCTGCGCCCCATGCACCCCCAAGCTCTGCATCCAGCTCCTGGACTCCTTGCCTCCCCCCAGCTCCCTGTGCAGATGCAACCAGCAGGAAAGGTGAGAATGTTAACCAACCCTGTCAAGCCCTACACTGCCAGGGAAAACACTACTGTGTAGAACAGTTGGCCCACCACCCCTGGTTTTCCTTTCTGCCTTGGGGGATGAGGATTGTCAGTGTGGAGGGAGAGAGAGAGTATATACACTGACAGCCCTCTTCCTCACCACCATCAGTCAGGCTTTGCAGCAACCAGCCAACCTGGCCCCCGGCTCCCCTTCATCCAGCACAGCCAGAACCCACGATTCTACCACAAGTGACCATCAGATTTTATCTTCAGCTTCACCCCCAGCCCTGCCATGGGTGAGGGTCCCCAGTATGTCCCAGTCCCAGGACAATAAAATCTACCTGCTACTGCCTCTGGCTGCTGCTGTGTGTATTCCATACTGGGCTAGGGCTGTTTGGAGGGTTGGGGAGGGGGGGGGG